TTTAATTTGGAAATCGTATTGCTGCAATTTCTCAATCCATCTAGCAAGCTGTCCTTCAGGAGTTTTCATTTCTAAAAGCCATTTTAGAGCTGCGTGATCTGTTCGAATTAGAAACTTGCGTCCATAGAGATACTTATGAAAACGGTCGACTGCTTTTACTATGGCAAGCAACTCTCTTCTGGTGACACAATAATTTCGTTCCGGCTTTGATAAGGTTCTACTGTAGTACTCCACGACATGTTCTTGTGAATTTTGGATTTGTGAAAGGACAGCTCCAACACTGGTGTTACTTGCATCTGTGTCCAAAATCAACATGCCTTTGTGATCAGGATAGGACAACACTGGGCTCGTACATAATGCTCCTTTCAATTTTCTAAATGCGGAATCGCATTCTTGGGTCCAATTGAATGTTGATTTTTCTTCTGTTAATCGATGAAGTGGAGCAGCTATTTTGGCGAATCCATCCACAAATCTTCGATAATAAGAACATAATCCTAGAAAACTCCTTAGTTCATGTTTGTCGCGTGGTTTTGGCCAGTCCCTGACAGCATCTATTTTTCCTTCCATAACTTGTATGCCCTCTTCAGATACCACGTGACCTAAGAATTCCACTTTCTTTTGAAATAGGAAACACTTATTTGGATTGAGTTTCAAGTTGGCATTCCGGAAGCGGTCAAAAACTTCTTTCAGGTTATTGAGATGTTCTTGGAACGAATGTCCCATAATCATGACATCATCCAAATATACCAGGCAAGTTCTCCATGTAAGGCCTCGCAAAACAAGATGCATCAGTCGCTCAAACGTAGCTGGAGCATTACACAATCCGAAAGGCATTACATTAAACGGGTATAGCCCGCTTCCGGTACTGGAGGCAGTTTTCTCTTTGTCATCGTCATGTATTGCCACTTGCCAGTATCCACTTTTGAGATCCAAGGTGGAAAACCATTTGGAGCCCGATAGAGTTGTTAGTGTATCGTCTATTCTTGGGAGAGGAAAGCTGTCCTTCTTGGTGACGTCATTAAGCTTTCGGTAGTCCACACAAAATCTAAGACTCCCATCTTTCTTCGTAACCAATACTACTGGCGCGGATCATGGACTATTTGACTCTTCAATGATTCCCTCTTGAAGCATTTTATCAATTTGGTTTTCCACTTCCTGTTGCTTAGCTACTGGCATACGTCGTGGTGGTTGTCTAATTGGATGTGCCAATCCAGTATCAATTTTGTGTTGAATTAAGCTGGTTCGTCCGGTTTGATTGTCCATCACAAATACGTCTGCTTCTTTCAAAATGAAATCTGTGGCTTCTTGAAGTCTATCTGGATCGAGATGTTTCCATGATTTCGCCAAAGTCTGCATCAAGATGTCTGTATCCAATTTGGATTTCACAAAATGTCGCTTATCTGGTAGGTCACAGTTCGATATTTGCTTCACTGGTTCGAGAGCTCCAATAATGTCTCCTTCCTTTATTCTTACTGTTTCGGAAGAAACATTGGCAATTCTTATCATAATGTCTCCATTAGTTCTTACTAGAGTCTTTCCTACAAGAAATCTTTCTGGTTTATCTCCAATGAAATTACATGTTAGCCCAACGCAGCACCCAGGGTTTGTTTCTAATCTTCCGCAAATGATCTTCTCAGTACTTCCAGGAATCCTCACTGGCCAAGATCTTAACGGCATCGGATTCTTCTTGTGTTGTTAGGACAATTTCTTCATTACCAAATTTAAGGATGTTCATGGAAGAATCAAAGGAGAAATCATGTTGGCCGATCAAATCCATTCCCAAAATAAAATCATCTTCTATATCGGCGACTAATGTCCTGTGCCTGAAGGTGGTAGATCCAAAAGTGAGCTCAACCATAGCTTCTCCTTGAACTGGTGCAGATTCGCCGGTGACTGTTCGTAGTGACAGGTTTCTAGTGAGCGGTTCGATTGCCCGAGACTTGACTAATGTTCTTCTAATTATGGAAACTTCAGCACCCGTATCAAAAGTAATGGTTTTCAATTCTCCATTAATTTTTCCTTCAAATTTTAATCCTCTATAATGACTGCCCAATGATTTTATGTACACAACTCTGGGGGCTTCGTCATTACTAGCCAGCATCCTCCCTTCCGTGCTAGTTGGTTCCTGTTTATTATTAGGGCTGGCGTCTCTAGACCTTGAAAAGCGTTGAGAATGATCCCCAGATGGAAAGGACATCCTTAGTCTACAATCCCATTGCATGTGTCCAAGCTTTTGGCACCTGTAGCATTTTACTCGGTTTCTCGGTGTTGGTGTTTGTCTGGAATCGTTTCCCATTTTTCTATCTTCTAGTAACAGTTTCTCCATTCTCTCCATGAAATTACTCATTTTAGTTTCGAAGCTACCATCCTCTTTTGACAACTGTTTATCTTTTGGGTCTTCAATGGACACTGCTCGTATTCTGGGTCGTGAGGCACCAAAGATTGCTTCCAGTTCTAATGCTCGGACAAGGGCTTCGCTACTTTGTCTGAACTTGGACATTCTTAGGTTTTCCTGGATCTTCGAATCTCTGAGACCATCAATAAACGCAGGTACTGCCATCCATTCCTGCATGTCTTCCCCAGCTGCAGGAAACGCCAAACTCACTAGCCGATTCGAATTCTTGTAGACTCTCGCCGGGTTTTTGAACTCTTGATTTGACTTGAGTTCTGAATACTTCTTGTCTGTAATGGTCTCCGAAGCGCAGTTCTAAAGTTTGACTTAGATGCTGGTAATTCTGTTGGTAGACTGAAGGAATGGACTGAAGAAGGTCTAAGGCAGGTCCTCGTAGCGCCACTATTAGTGCTGTAGCTTTTTCTTGGTCGTTCCATCCATTGGTGTTTGCAGCAGCTTCAAATTGTCGAATATACATGGTCCAGGATGTAGAACCGTCAAAAGTTGGTGGTTTTATCTTCATACTGGAGAATGCTCCAACACTAACTGGATTGATGGACTGTATTTCTAATTTACGCACCTTATCTTCGAGTGCTTGAACTTGGTCCTCCACTTCTTGTCTTAATTGCTGAACATCGTCTTTAACTTCTTGAACATTGTCTTTTACTTCTTGAACATCGGTTTTGACTTCAGCTTTTACTTCCTGAACGTCGTGTTTAACTTCTTGCACATCATCTTTAACTTGTTCAATCTTCTGGTCTAGGTTAGCGACAGTTCCTTGTATGGTTTGGAATATTTTCTTCAGTCTTCCAAGGTCCTCCTGCCGTTCTTGTTGTCGCTTAGCTTCTTCTTGTTGTCGCCTAGCTTCTTCTTCTTGTTTTTCTTTTTGTCGTCTGGCCTCTTCGTCTTGTTTCTCTTGTTGTCGTTTAGCTTCTTCGTCTTGTTTTTCTTGTTGTCGTCTGGTCTCTTGAAGTTCCAACATTTTGTGCAGAAGTTCTTCAACTTTTTGTTCGTCCATTTTGGCTTGTTGTCTTGTGATAGGCATATACAGAACGTTCTAGAATTTCCCTCGAACTTTCTTCAAATATCTTTTCTGGTCTTTGCTCGAAGTTCCAAACACGCCGGTGAAGTCACAAATTGGATATCTCCCTTGGTTTCCAAATAGAATGTTCTAGAATTTTCCCGAAACTCCTCGAAAAACCTCTTCTGAATGACGATTGATGTTCCGAATACGTCGGCGAAGTCACAAATTCGATATCTCCCTTAGTTTCCAAATAGAATTTTCTAGAACTCACTCGAAGATTCACTATCACAGTCTAAATCGGTATAGAGTCACTTCCGGGGTAATTCACACGATCGGTTGAGTCTCTTTTTGTGATTGTCACTGTTTGCACTGCACTAACTGTCTCAGTGTTCACTTAGTGTTCAGTTTTTATACTACACTAGTGTCCCCGCACTTCCGTAATTGGATTTCACTCTGCAGTCCTTTATATCCCACTTCTGAAACCAATGTCGCGGCTTTGGGTTGCCTGACAGAAATCTTGGGTTCATTGTTCGTTTCGTTTATTCCAAAAATCAAAGTCCAATTAACACAGCAATAATTTATTCCACTTAACAAAACACTCTGACACTATTTACTTTATTAACAAACTCAACAATTAAACTCTTTACAATCACTATTTAAATCGTATCACAGTCGAACTAAAACTAAACTTACAAACCAATGCTGGCCTTCTTATATATCCCTAAATCTGTTCCTGGAAAATCTAGAATACACACGATAATCTTATTTTCCAGAATAAAGTAGAATAATTCGCTAGATTCTCGTATTTCCGCCATAGAGGTTGAGATTCTTGACAGCCTGGCGAACGCCGCGCTACAATATGAAGCTAAATTCAGCCACATTATTTGTGTCCATGTGTCAACGGAACCAAAATATCAATGTTGAACCGGCTGTGACAGAATTACTTTTGATGGGAAAAGTAGAGGAAAACTCCAGTGAAGTTCTAATGATTAGGGTGTGTCTGCAATGACTGCATAGTCTTCTGCTTGTTCGCTGAAGCAAAGAATTTCACCTCCTATTTTCCTTCTTGGCTTGGTGTCATCACCTACTTCGATTGGACGGTCCATTTGATACGGGAATGTTTTGCCAAAAAAGCCCAAGCCAAACTTCTCTACTTGTTCACTTGAAACTGTAGCTATTATTTCAATTCCCATAAATGTTTTTTAATTATAGGTACTTTCTAATCAACTAAGAGGGAAAGTGGAAGGGTGAGCCCAAAACATTGTCAAAGAAAATCAGATATTTTTGTAGTCTAAAAGGGTCTGAGGTCTGTGATGTAAGAGAACTCATTTGTCTTCTTGTCTCAATATCTTGTCTTAGAGTTGTTTACAAAAATGCCAAATCATGTAGACAACACCTTAAATTTTTTTTTTGTCAATTGTTGTAGGGTTAGTTTGGGTTTCTAAAGGCACAAACTTTTTTTTCAGTTCCGGTTTATTAAGCATGAGTTGTAAAACTGGATGGAGAATTTTAAAAACCAAATAAACCAAATTTCAAAAACAAAATGAACTAGGTAAACACAAACATAATAAACTAGGTAAATTTCACAAACAAAATAAACTTAAGTATTTCTGAAGACACAAACTTTTTTTTTTGTTTATAACGCATGAGTTGTAAAACTGGATGCAGAATTTCAAAAACCAAATAAACCTAATTTCAAAAACAAAATAAACTAGCTAAATTTTACAAACATAATAAACTGAGTAAATTTCACAAACAAAATAAACTTCCAAACATAATGTAATAATATCTAAATAATAAAAAAAAAAAAACTACCAAAGTTCTTTTTTCACTCTAACAGTCAGTTTCCGTACTTTGGATGGCCGCGCACGAACCCTATTTTCAATCTGGTTTAATGGACCATTATTAGCCAATTGCTCCATTAAAAACTTGCTTATTGAGGGACTTGCTAAATGTGGCTCGGATTGTGCATATTGTTTTATTACTTTGGTAATCAGTGAACATATTTCATCTACTTCATCCATGGAACTCTGAACTTCTGAAAGTTCCTGAGGATAGGTTTCCATTAGCTTGGAAACTCCTAGCAATATAAGATCCAGCCCATTCATTTTATCTACAGACTTTAAACTGGCTGAAGTTCGAGTTGAATCAAATTGATCATCATCTGATTGTGAGTCTGTTTCTTCATCATCATTATTATTTCTTTTTTCTCCTCTAATACTTGATTTTGAAGAAAGCAAGGAAACAACTGATGGTAGATGGGGATCCATAAATTTCATTTGCAAATGGTATTCTGGACCATATTGGCTCTTTGAGGTTCCTTTTCTAACTTTCACGTATTCGTCCCTCATGTTTTTCCATTTTTTTTGTACTAATGAAACTGAAAAGAAACCACCAATTATTTTGTGGAGCTAATCCATTTCACACGTTGAACTTGAGATAAATATCTATGAAAGAAAACTTAGAGTCCTGCAGCACTCACAGAAACTACAAAGTATGGTTTAAGGAGGCTGTCATTCATGTTTAGGGTTTTTCTGTATATTTCTGCACCCCACCTGCAGCCTTTACCTTTACAGGTAGATGATAGAGGTAAATACGAAAGTTATGCCAGTTTTAGCTAAATTTTTAAAATCCATCGTCAGAAACAAAAATGTATTTTCAGAAATTTGTAGTTTTGCGTTCTTTCAACTTTTTTCAAATGGAATGCCCTATATTTGATTCTATATTCTTGAAGAGCACAATTTTCCGATTCCAAAAATATATAAACTGCTGGACAATTTCAATTTCAAGCTCAATAATATTTTTGGAATCGGACCAAATATCGACCTCCGGTTTACACGGGCTGACAGAATGACTTTTTGTGAAAAAAAATTGTTACATAGAAACCAGAGTCCAGAGGTCGATATTTTAGTTCCTAAAATATCGAGCTGGAAAGTTAGGCGAAATTTTCCTTTTACTCGAAAGCAATTGTCCAACAGTTTAGTTTCTCTATATTTGATTATACTCAACCAAATATAGACAAACTATATATTTTTGAATCAGAAAATTGTGCTCTTCAAGTATATAGAATCAAATATAGGGCATTTCATTTGAAAAAAGTTGTGTTATAGATTCATAACCTAGTCGATAACACCAGTTGTGTTATGAATTCATAACCTAGTCCATAACACCACTAGTTGTGTTATGAGTCTCATCACATAACTCAAATACTAGAAAAATGGTAATGTAAAAACGTCATAACCAAACGCTTGTGAATAATAGTTAGATATTTATATTACTAGTACGGTTGGAGCTTCATTACAGTAACGAGTGGGGAATATTGCCAAGACGAGGTCGTAGACCGAGTCGTGGTAATCACACGAGTAGTGTAATGAGCGTTAATGTACGTGTGATATACAACATTTTGTGTACGACCTAGACTTTTTTTATTCGAAATGGTTTAAATTTTTCACAACTGATTATATTTATACTTCGAAGAGCGAATCTTGATCTTAACGCCATCTAGGACACGATAATCAACACTACACGCAATTTTGCTGTGCAAAATGGTGAACGTTCCAAAGGCAGACCAAAATTCAGTTCGTTTGGGTTTCACCCAAAAGTACCACTGTTTGAGAAAAGTTTTTTTGAATTAATTTTCTCCGCTTTTCCATCCATAGACGCGTTTCGACCTATATCAGGTCTCATCTCTCATTATATTTATAATTTTTTCGAATAAATGAGTTTCAGAAGTACCGTTTTTCAATAAAAATTTATTACGTAATGAGCTCATTACATCACTAGTGATTTATATTATATCACTAATGGCCATTTGCACGGCTATCACTTAAAGGATATTTAATAATAATAAAGTGGAGCTTTGAATGTGACTTTTGTTTCTACAAGAGTCACATTCGAAGCTCTACTTATATTAGGTATCCCTTAAGTTATAGCGGAGGCGTTATAGCGGTGCAAATGGCCGTAAGTACGATACCTAATACAATTTATTACCACTGGCGTAACTAGCCATCTGACCTGGGGGGGGCCTAGGGTGGGCCTGGCAGAAGCGCCGATTTTTGAAAGTCCTCATAGGTGCAGGATAATATTTTTATAAATTTGTTTATAGGGGGAGGGAGAAGCTCACCATAGGCGAAAATTTTTTTCCGGATGCCACGCCTTAAAACGTCTATTTTATAGTGTATATATTTTTGTATTTTTGTCTACGAGCGCGCGAAAAGTGCTTTTTTCTGTACGCATTTTAGGCCATGAAAATATCACATCATTATCAAAATAATTATGCCTGGTACTTTTATATCCTAAAATGTCTTATAATGTCCCGATTATTGTCAAAGAATAGAGATGGAGAATAGCAACATTAGCAATATAAAGTAATAGAGCATAGAATTGACCACAAATAACGAAAGGACAGAATACTAATACCTCCCTAATCTAAGATTAATACCACTTGTATAATTTATTATACAAAGTTGTGTAAATTTAAATTACATATATGATACTGATATTACCACACGAAACGGAATGACCATTAAATACGTTTGTACTTTCGCAGTCCCTACGAGAGCGCCGAGCACCCATGAGAGGTTTCTCATGGGAGCACCTGCCCCAATGCCCCCATGTAGTTGGGGCCTGTTATTGCGACTTATGGGAATCTTTAAAAAAGTAGAACAGTGCAATTATAGGCAATTAACAGACTAAGCCGGGCTTAAATCACTCACCTAGCTAACCCAGCTTATCAGCCACTGTATAGTATATATCAGCAACACCGATTCATAGATTCACAGGAAAAATATTTAGTCAAACTCCCAACTAATCGATTATAATGCTAATGCTAATTTAATGGCTTTGGTATACCGTATTACTTCCGCCCATTGCAATTTGAACTGACCTTTGGGTGGCACAATGGCACACAGCCCCTCCGTTGGTGGATGGGAGGATCGGATAGAGTCGATCGAGATCGCCGCGCATTACCGTTCAAATTTAGTAGGTAATAACATCAAATTATAAAGAGTAACGTAGCTTTCATAAAATACCATATTAATAAAGTTTTTTCTGGGGGGGCCTAGCGACGTCTGCCCAGGCCCCCCTGTAGTTACGCCACTGTTTATTACGTAACTCAAACAGGTTAAAATGAGTTACGTAATAAGCTCTTACAGTGTGGAGTGTGGGTCGTACATAATAGTTATTTATATCACTGGTACGGTATGGGTATGAGCGTTACCGTACGTGTGATATACAACATTTTTTGTACGACCCAGATTTTTTCCATGTATTCGAATTGGTTTTAATTTTTCACAATAGATTATATTTATAAATTTTTGATAAATGAATTTTAAAAAGTGCAGTTTTTCAATAAAAATTAGTTACATAATGAGCTCATTACATCACTAGTGATTTATATTACATCACCGAGTGGTGTATTATTACATCACTAAGTACGATAATACAACTTATTACGTAACTCAAACAGGCTAAAATGAGTTACGTGATAGGCTCTTACAGTGTAGATCGTACATAAAATAATTTATTGGTATATCAAAGATTGAATTAAAAAACTTAATTTCTTCAATCGCTCAATATTTGATGAGTAATTTCATCTGGGTGTGCAGTGTGCTGGTAGCGCTCAATACAGCTGTGCTGGATTGAATATTGTACTCATAGAAAAGTGATTTATATTCTTGATATAGAACGCTCACTTCTGTTGTAGTCGCCAACTGACATTTCCGACGGTGCTGCCATAGCGGTGTAGTCATTGAACTAATATTTGGCGGGACGTTTGAATCTCGGTTTTAAATGACTGGTTCAACATTTAACATTTCAATTATTTCAAAATCAGGCAGTGCTCCAAAACTTCATAAACTTAAATTTTTTATATTTCATCTACAATTCATATTATATTTTGAGGTTGGGAAATGGGTGATAAGCAAAAATTTCGCCAAGTAAAAAACAGTGAAAATAAGTGTAATTATTGTAAGAAAAACGTCTCAGAGTTTAGTGAGTGTGAAAACTGTGAGGAGAAATACCATCCTAGCTGTTCAGCCAGGGTAGCTAAACATAATAGTGGAAAAAAATTTGTCTGTTGTGATATTGGCAAGAGTGAGGTTAGACCACCAAGCACAACACGAAAAAACAGCGAAAAATCGGACAATTGTTTGGAAATGGACGAAAAAAGGCTTAGGGAGATTATTAAGGAATCATTTAAAAGCTACCTGGGCCCATTTGAGCAGAAAATTGATAAAAAAATTACTGAATTTGGGGCCTCAATTCAATTTATGTCTGATGCTTTCGAGGACCAAAAGCGAGTGTTCGAGGGCGCTCTGATGGAAAATCAAGTCCTTAAAAAGGAAAACGAGGAGTTGAAGAAGCGGCTGCAGTCGTTGGAAGGCCGAATGGATGCTTTTGAGGTCACTGAAAAATCTAAAAACCTGATAGTTGCAGGGGTCCCAAAACAAACCAGGCTAGACACAGTAGGAACTATTAAAAAGATTTTTGTAGCCATGCAACTGCAAACGGCAAATAGTGAAATTTTGGAGTGTTTCAGGGTGGATAAACAAGGAGAAGGGCCAATCTTACTGAAAATGAACAATGAGCAAGCTAAAAAGGATGTACTTAGGAGAATAAAGGACATAAAAGGTATATCTACAAAGCAATGTGGCTTGGACGGGGATGACAAAAAAATATTCTTTAATGAGGACATGCCAGTGGCAAAAAGGATGCTTTTCAAAAAAACAAGGGATTTAAGGAAACAAAAAAAACTATAAGGCAGCCTTCTATATCAATGGAACAATTTTTCTTAAAATTAACGAAACTGACCAGGCCCTTAAAATAAGATGCGACTCCGATCTTGAAAAACTCCAATAAATCATATAAATCAGTAATACAACCCTAAATAAACTAATTTTGCATTCATGGAGCTGAATGATATTCTGGATGATTATAATAATATCCTGGAAACAAGGGAATGTGACAGCTTATGCCAAATAAACTACTTTGACAATAAAGCAAGTGATATTAATATTATGCATGTCAACATACGTAGTATATACCAAAATTTCGATCAATTTTTGGTGTTCCTTGAATCACTAGGTAAGTCCTTTGATGTTATAATTATGTCGGAAACCCACAATGTGTACTGCACAAATGACTTTAACATACCTGGCTACAGATTGTTCTTCAATGAAAGTAGTCTTAACCGATGTGATGGGTGCATAATCTATGTCAAAAGTGACCTCCACATTGAAGATAGGATAATCCAAGATAATAAGTTAAAAATTATCAAAGTCACACTCCAAAAAAACCAAAAATTTGTGGAGATCCTTGCTACATACAGATGTTTTGCCGTTACAAAAGAAGAACTTATTGAAAATTTGGAAAGACTACTGCAGCAATCAAGCATGGATCAAAACAGAGTGTATGTGTTTGCTGGTGACATTAATATAGATCTGTTATCTAAGGAATCTGACTCGACAAATAACTACTTGACTTTATTACAGGGGCATGGTTTTGTAAGTGCAATAAATAAACCCACAAGAGTTACTGAAAATGGAGGTA